CAATTTTATGTTTGCTATGGAGCGCAATTATGCAAACTTTGCTATGGCATACAAATATGAATTTTTTGTTTGCTATATGTGAAAGTTGCCCTTTTATTAACCTATCCAAATCGAGTTCAACACACTTATTTGGCACACACGCATTAATTACCGTATTATATAGAAACTATTAACAGGTATCTGATGAAATAATCGATTTAGCTCGTTATAAATATAATTAGACGAGGACTTACGGTTGTTTTCTTCCAGTATGAAGCCACCAATGCCAAGAATCAAATATAAGAACATCCATTTCTTTCCATTGTGTTGCTGAACTTAGAGAATCCAACTCTAAAACTCTAGCTCCATTGTTCTCCGTTTTAATGTCTACCAGAAAAGCATTTCGATACATCAAATACGACGTGTTGTATTTCTGCATTAACGTGTTCAAGATTTAATATATATGTCAGTAATCTCGAGAATTGATCTATTCATAGAATAATTAATTAATATGTTGTATAGTCTATGTAGGATTTTTGTTCTATTTCATTATTTATGACAAGCATACTTGTCAATTGTCACGTTTCACTATCGAGAGTAAATTTAACTAATTATCATGGTGAAAACATACTGCTACGTAAAATGTTGGTCAAAGTTTATGTAATTTGATTTTCGAGAAGAAAAATATGACAAGTATTTTGAGATGGAATATACCGGAAATGTGAAGATAGAAGTGCCTCCAATCCTTTTGGAGATATATTTAGCTTGTGGATCAGCAGCATGAAGCATACAAGTAAGAGATTGCCATTGATTTAGGCTTATTGAATCTCCTACAAACATTATTTGCTTCCCCTTTAATTTGTTTTGAAATTCTTTAGCATCAAACCTAACAAAAAATAAAAATAAAAATTAAGGAAAAATATATATATATATTTAATTTACAATACGAGAAGCTCGTAAATGAAAAAAAAGTTATATTTAAACATGTATTTTACTTGAAAAAAAATTATGAATTAAAAAAGAAATTGTTCAAAATTAATAACCAAACAATTATATTCTTTTGGAAAAGTGAAAGAACAAAAAATTATATGTCCAAATGACTTATAAGTTTCTAATAAGACCAAAAGATCCTAACGAAGTGCTTTTTTTTTTTTTACAAAAACAATTCAGAATAATTCGCGGCCATTATCGCTATAATCTTTTGCTACAAGTATCGTTCTTCGAGTAAGCACTTTATAGTGAGAACTTTATGCACAGTAAATAAATTTTTCATTGTATAATAACTTACAAACCACAATATAAATCAAACTAAATAAATTTTATACGATAAACTCGACTAAAAAAAAATATTATTAACCAACTTGGAAAATCTTAAACTATATTGAAGTGTTAAATTTGATTTTGCTTATATTGTTTTCTAGCTTTAGTCCAAAAAAAATCCAACTGTCTTCTATCTCCCTGATTAATAATTGCCATGATGTGACATGTGATAATTTCAGATTTTTTTTATTTAATTAGGAAAATCCCAAAAAAATGCAAACTAAAGAAAAATAAAAAATAGAATGTCCACAAGTCTCGTGATTTTTTTCCAATTAAGAACTTATTTATCTATGACTAATGTTAGAAAAATGAGAGAAACTTTTTCAATAATAGTATTGCAAAGAAAACGTTTGATCATGATTTTTTTTTTGGAATTAAATTCTGAAAATACATTTATCTATAAAGTATGAAATTAAATTTAAGGTTTTGAAAAATAATAAACACTTAAAAATTACTCACAAAATGTATAAACTACTCCAATATGTAATCATATGATCAAACATAAGTTAATTTTTTACTATCATTTTTATTTTGAAAACAAAAACTATTTTTTTAAAAATAAATTTCACAATAAAACGTGGCGAAAAATTTAATAGGATAAGTGGGTAAGACGTATCTATCGAGCAATTCCATTCAACAATTAATTAAAAGCATGCATGTTATTTTCCAATTAGCTAGTAATGATCCCCAAAATTGATGAATCCAAACACATTTGGTCCTACAGATTTTATTTCTAATATTTTTTTTAAAAGAATATATATATTTTTTTAAATATTAGAAACATATATACGTCTGAACTCTGCTAGAGTAAGTTAAAAAAAAAAGAGTAATTAATAAATTTTCCTTAATAAAAAAAAACAGAAAATAAAGAAGACAAACAAACAGTCACGGGTTAAAACTTAAAATCGTTTCCACTCTAAAATTTGGAAGTTGTGCAGACAGCTAAAGTAGAAAACAAAGGTAAAACATTAAACATAGCCCTATCTCCGATTCATTTTAATTGTCATTTTAATATTTTTTTTATTAATTTAACATAAAAATTCAACCGGGATAAATTTTTATCCCATCAAATATCATACAACAACAACCATCGTAATAACACAGTACATATAAGGTCTGAGAAAGGTAAAATACACGTACAATAACAATCGTAGTAAGTACAATTAGCATGATCCAATAAGCAGGGTCTGAAAAAAGTAGAGTACACGTACAGTAACAATAACAATAACAATAACTATAACAATGGTAATAACACAACCTATATTATCGAACAAGTAAAGTCTGGAAAGGACAAAATATACCGTAGGTAAACCTTAGAAGAAAAAAATAAAATGAAACATATAATTTAGAGAAATTAAGAGTATACCTGGGTAAATTGCACTCATTGGGTTGCCATCTATATTTAAGATAATCTTTATCTACCCTTCCATTCTTCAAACAATCAAATTGTTTTTCAATAAATGGACAAATAGATGAATTATAGAGAGGATAATCATCATCATAAACCCAATTTCCTTTGAATAAATCACATCTGTTGATTTCCAATTGGTTAAAATCATTGATTAATTTCCCATATACATTATAATTGCTCAACAATATGTAAAAAAGAAGCAATAGAGAAAACATTGTTTTTTTTTCTGTTGAATTATTTCTCCTTAACTTTTTTTCTTTTTTGTCTTCAAAAAATATGAGGAGAAAATAATATATAATAAAGTGATAGTATAGAGAATCCTATATATAAGTAAACTAATTACAATAATTAATGTGAGAAAGAGAAGTTAGAGAATCAAAGAAACGCTAAGAATGTGATAAAGAAATTTAAGTATGAAAAAAAAAAGAAAGGTTCACATGTTAGTTATAGAGTGACACTTTTACCTACAATTTAACGTGGGTCGCAGTGGAATAATTTGAGTTTTCTAATTTTTTTGATCAGAAATTTTGAATTTGAGTCTTTAGAAATTAATGAAAATATGTCTATTTGTGAAATCGTCCTTAGAAATATATAGCTCTTGCAATAAGAAGATTTAAATTGAGTTGAATTTCAATATGAGTATCGGACAACCGATGAAAAAGCAAAAGAAAAGAAAGAAATGATACTTTTACCAACTTGGGTCGGAGTAAAATCGTTCAAGATCCTTTTTATCATTTAATCAAAAGTTTCAAATTTAGTCTATGAAAATGAAAATATCCTATTAATAAAGTTATTCCTAGAAATAGTTTTTACAATACATGAATTTAATTTAGTCGAACTTCAATATAAATATGGTACGAAAATAAAAAAGAAATGATACTTTTGATCCTAATTTAGCACATAGACTAGTGGCTTTCTTGATGGAAAAAAAGGTTAGTAGTTTTTGTTTATTAATAACCAATTAAGAAATCATGTAACAAATAAAGATATATGGGTAAAGAGAAAAAGAGAATGGAATGAATTTAAAGCTATTGTAGTTTGTATCTAATAAAATTTTAAATTTTAAGTATGAAAATAAAAAGGTTCACGTGTTAGTTAGACTGACACTTTCACCAACAATTCAATGCGGAGTCGCAGTGGAATGATTCGAGATTTTTTTATTTTTTAATTAAAGAGTTTGAATTTGTGTCTTTGCAAATGAAAATATACCTATTAGTAAAGTTGTCTCTACAAATATATAGCTTTTACAATAAGAAAAATTTAAATTTAGTTGAATCTCAATATGAGTATTGAACTATAGATGAAAAAAATGATACTTCTACCAACACGGATCACAATAGAATGATTCACGATCCTTTTATCCTTTAATTAGATGTTTCATCTTCGAGTCTTTTAGAATATAGTACAATTGTTTTTAGAAATGATACTTTTGATCCTACTTTTAACACCTAATTTAGCACATAGACTAGTAGCTTTCTTGATGTATAAATAGGCTAGTAGCCAGTAGGTTTTGTTTATTAAGGCTAGTATTGTTTATTTATAACCATATTAAGAATATGTGTAACAAAAAAAGATGATGGCTAAAGAGGAAAAGATAATGGAATGAATTTAAAACTATAGTATAAAATTATTATTATTATTATTGTAATGTATGTATGTAAACAGAAAGTGCATGATATATGATGGACAATGATTTGTCAGTATTTCTTCTTCCAACTGTTAGAAGAATGAATTAGTTTTTGGAAAATCCTTTTGAAAGACCAAATATTTTGAAAATTATTTTGTGTTGTCCTCCAATTACCATATCTCAAATAGACAATTCTTATACTTTTATTAGGAAATGAGGAATCCAATTATCATATCTCAAATATGATTTGATGTTTAAACTTGGTCCAAAAGATAAACAAAGATAACTTTAACAAATAACAAAATATACTCGTAAATTTTACGATAATCCAAGAAATTTAACTCACTATATCCCCAACAATGTCAGACTATTTGCTTAATAGTTTGCTACTCGAAATTTACACCTATGAACAAAGGCTTGTGTATAAAACCTTCCCTCATTCTACTACCTTTATTGGTTTGATATAAAACACACGGCGCAGGTAAAGTTTTTCCTATGAAAGGGTGTATCAACAACATCATTTTTTGTTCGTAAGTAAACTTCGAGACTGATTCAGTTTCTCAGTCCCTCCAAAAACTGAAGAAAACAAACAACTCCTAGATATATAACTCAATCATGAACATACAGTAAATGTAGAAAACTTAAAATGTAATGACAACAACATAATCAAAATATCATTTTTTGTTTGCAAGTAAACTTCGAGACTGATTCAGTTTCTCAATCCCTCCAAAAACTGAAGCAAACAAACAACTCCGGGATATATATCACAATCATGAACACACAGTAAATGTACAAATCCTTAAAATGTAATGACAACAACATAATCAAAACATCAATCCAAGCAATGTTCACGTTCTGAAATAGACATTCTAGCAAGGTAAACCAGAGAGTTATAATACCACATAAATGTTTCTTTCTCGCTTGTCAATATTGGTTCTTCTAAGCCAAATATCAAGATCAGCTAAAATCTTTGTAGACGATTTCTGCTTTAGGTGATGTCCGCGGAAAATTTGAGATCTTAGTGAATATTTCTTCTCTTGTGTCGAGAGGCTCCTTATCTAGAAACTGTCGATTGATTACCAGTATCTCTAACACCGGGGAGTTGGCTAATAAATGCTTAATAAACTGCATCTCGGATGTACCTCCTATAAAGCTTCCAAGCTGAAATTCCACAAGGTGATTAAATGTCAGGTCTGACAAAGTTTCGGGTTGAAGAGATTCTTCATCTTCATCTTCATCAGTATCACTATCATCTTCATCAATAACCTTAGAAAGACAAGAAGAAGTTGCCTATCAGATTGTTGAAGATAAAAGTACAGCAAATAACCACTAAATAAGATTAAAAAATGTCAAAGCACTACAAACCTGCATTTCAAGATATTCCAAATATGGAAAGCTTCTTAGTAAGCAAAGAATATGCGAAAGTTTATATGATTCCACAAGCGAAATGTCGAGCAGGTCAAATCGTCTGACGTTGAGATTAAATGGAAGCCTTTTTGGTACTTTATATCCTTCCTCAGCAACGAACTAAGAAAAAATTACACAAATTCAAGATTAAGTCAGCCCAAAAGATATTCCATCCATTAAAGTGTATAACAATAAAGACAGGGAGAAACATTTACCTCTGAACTTAAGAAGTCCAAGCTGAGTTGCTCGAGAGCAGAACAAGATTCGAAAATCTTTGCAAAATCAAGACTCTCTGTCTGCTCAATGTCACCTAGCAGAAATGCTTCAACCAGACGAGGGACATTCTTTAGGTAGATCGAACTTATATTGCCTGTGAAACTGAAAAATCTTAGCATAGGAGCATTAATTTCAATCATGTCTAAATCTTCTGAAGTAGACAGCTCCAATTGCTCAAGCAAGGGGCAATGAGATATCAAACTTTCCAGCAATTCAGAAGAAGTTGAGACTCCACATAGTTCCAGGCTGATTAACTTATCAAAACCTTCAAAGGCAGATGGATGATAAATTGAACAAGAATGAAGATTTAGATGTCTCAGCTGTGAACATGTGAAAAGTGTAGATGGCAATGCGTATTGCTTTCTCAATGGAAGGCGCAGAACAAGATCTTGAATGTGATTCCTGAGGAAATAAATGAAGTCGTCAATTTCAGGAAGCCTTTTTAGATGAACGATGTCGAGGGTGAACTTAGTAATGGGCCCTTCGTGAAGGGTCAAGAGCTGGGAGATGATCTCCCTAAATCTAACTGTAGGGTTTAAATCCTCTCTTTGTTTCCATAGAGATTCATCAAGGGTCAACTCCGTACGTCTACACCAGTGATACCTCCATTTCTTTGATAAAACACTTGTCCTCACAGCATCTTTGAATGGTAAAAGTATCAAAATGACGTCGATTACATTATGGGGAAGATTGCTAATGATGTCGGGCATTAAACTTTGGCAACACTCTCTTCCTGTAGGAGGCATCATAAACCACTAAGAACCTGTATAAATAAACAATAATATGAGGTAAGAGATCTCTAAGCTATTTGGACAATACTCAAACAATCTCCAAATTATCTGGACGGAATTACTATTCACTGTCAAATCAACACAAGAACACAAGGAGCATTTAAAAACATAATCACCACGAACCTCCAGAAAATTAATAATAACATAAAGCATGGAATACTCAAAATATCTAGATAACAGTTAGGATTTTCCTTAATCTCAGAGGCACTTCCTGGAGTATGCCTAGTAAGATTGATGAGACTCTTTTCAGTTGGAAGGAGGCTGGAGTTGGGGCTACAAACAAAGAAAGATGGAGGATGATCCTTGCTTGTATATGGTGGACTATATGGAGAGAGACAAATGATAGATGTTTTGAAAATAGGAACAACAACCTGCACATGTCAGTTCTAAATGTACTTCGTTGTTCTGTTTTTGGTGTATGAATGTCTACTCCAATGAGACTGAGAGTCAATCATAGATGTTTAGAGGTCCATCAAGATTTTGGTTCAGTTTTGGGGAAGATTAAACTTCTTTTTCTTCTTATTTGCAAATATGATTTTTCAGTACTAGCTAAGTACTCACTTAAATACAAATGTTGCCAGTGTCAAAAAAACCCACAAGTTCTCTACCTTAACCTCACCCTTATCATTTTTGAAGTATTGTCAGGCCTTCATATTAACATGTTGAAAATGTTATTTATCTTGTTAATGTGGTGCCAAATTTGGTGGAGCTGGCTCATGTATGGGGTGCACCATTAGCAATTTCACAACAACCCATTTGGGAATACCTTTGGGAGCCAAATACAAAGCAACTGAAATATGGAATGTGGTTATTGAGAAATTTGCGAAAAGACTAATAAACAACGTTTTGGGTAGCATCCCAACATATTTCATGTCTCTTCCCAATATCTGAAGAAGTCTTGAAGCATCTAGATAAAATCAGGAGAGACTTTTTATGGGAAGGCAACTGTGAATCTCACAAATTACATAAAAGTCACTCTTCCCAAACATCTTGGTGGCCTTGGTATCAAAGCTCTTGCTCTATGTAGCAAGTGTATGCTTATGAAGTAGCATTGGAGGTTCATTCAGAAGGATGCTGGTCTGTGGAAAAAGGTAATTGTGGCTAAGCATAGCAGTAACACTCAATGGTGTACAGAACAATCAACAGTTCCTAGGTAACTGGATTATGGAAGGCCATTTAATACCTTGTGGGTTAACTTTTTCAATCAGACTCACTTTGAGGTAGGGAATGAGAACCATATGAAATTTGGCTAGACAAGTGGACATGAGATTCCACTTTGAAAGAAGTCTTCCCAAATATATTTAACATTGTCAGACATCCTAATTGTTCTATTGTACAGAACAGGAACGATAACTCATGGAACCTGAACCTAAGAAGAAATTAGCAAGATTGGGAATTTGAAGAGTTATTGAATCTGCTCAAAAGCTTGGAGAACAGCAACATTAACATTCAGAGCAGTGATAAGCTAACATGGGGCTTCAACAAAAAAAGTTTATATGTAGTCAAGGTAGGATGTGAACACTTGAGCTCAAACACGATGACATCAATCAATGGTCCTGGAAATTAGTCAGGAAGCGTAAACTCGCCCCTAAAGTCTCATCTTTTACTTGGACAGCCTTAAAAGAAGCATGCCTCACGACAATCTTATGAGAAGAAGATTTCAACTGGTCAATAAGTGTTGCATTTGTCAGTTAACATCAGAAAGCATCAACCACCTCTGCAACACACTATTGGAACATGTTACTAGCCCTTTTTGTAAAACTAATCTCAAAGATTCTAGCTGCTAGACTGCAAAAGGTCATATCTAGTATTATAAGTGATGCTCAAGATGTTTTATTCCTCAAAGGAAGATTGGTGACAACATTATACTAGCTCATGAATTGGTGCATACTTATTCCAGGACATATATATCCTCAACATGCATGATTAACATAGACTTTCAAAATAGTGAATTAGATTTCCTAGACAATTTATTGGTTGGGTCCTTGAATGTGTGAAAATAGTGAATTATACTATTTTGGTTAATGGAGAATCGTCGGCTAAGGCAAGGAGACACATAACTCCTATTCTATTTGCCATAACTCTGGAACATCTACCAGTTAACCTTCTCAAAAAAAGAAATAATAAAATAGCTCTGGAATATCTGAGCAAAAGTCTGAATCAGCTAACACAGTGAAAGGAGTTCCACTCCCATCCTAAATGATCTAGAATGAGGAGCACACATCTATGCTTTGCATATGACCTACTATTGTTCTCCATAAAAGACTTACTATCTGTCGAGGCATTTCAACACTGTTTCCAGCAATTCTCTTTAGCTTCTGAGCTACAAGTTAACATTATTAAGAGTTCATTATATTGTGAAGGGGATAATTAATCTGAGATAGACAGAATGCTTCAGTATCAGGGCTATTCCTTTGGAGAACTACAAGTCAACCTTTTGAAGTTGTTCTTGTACCACAACAACTTGTACTGGAGCACTGAATCTTACAAATCTACTAGTTTGGAATCAAGCAGGTATAGGAAAAACTTATTGGGACAATAGTCATAAACATGGCAAATTATGGATCAAATGGATCCATGAGTATCATCTCAAAGATCAGCCTTTTGAAGTTGTTCTTGTACCACAACAAGCTTCCTAGATGGTAAAGTATTTGAAACAAGGACTAAACTAGCTCTTATAAGGAATTCTAATTAGACAGGTATCTTACTTATTGCTAGGTGATGCCAACGTACCTTGGAAGTGCCTTATGTTCAAGAACGGTGCAAGGCCCCGAAGCAAAGTTCACCAAGTGGCTTCGACTCAAGAGAAACTGATGACTGCTGATACATTGAGTAAGTAAGCATTTGGATTTAGAGAAATATGAAAATCTTTGAGCAGAAAAGCAGAGAACAGGGAAGTCTAGCCAGAGAAATTTCTATTGTTTGTTGTTTCATATATAAATAAATTAAAATTAAAAAAGACCCAACAAAATAAAACTTCAATAGTCACTCCTTTTACTGCTGATGAATAATCAAAATGCTCAAATATTGATCTGACCAAATTCAATATCTCCAACATAATCTGCTGTAAGAATAATGGAAACATAACTTGATATTACAGCCTATTTTTCACAAACTAAGATAGGAACATTCAATTAAGAACATTCATACTAAATGAGTGATATTTCATTATTTGGGCGACTGAAAACCCCCAAGTGTTTGCACTTATCAAATCAAGTAGTTTATTGAACAAACAGATACAAACAAATATCTTATTTTTTGAGAAGGTAAAAATAATAATAAGATATTTGTTTGTATCTGTTTGTTCAATAAACTTCTTGATTTCATAAGTGCAAACACTTTGGAGCTTTCATAAAATATCTTATGTGCATAAAATTTAAGATGAAAAACTCAATATGTGAACCCATTCAAGATTAATCAAATCTCACAAAATGGACAAAACAAAAAAAACATGAAGACTTTATCACTACAAAGCAAGAATATTGGATAACAGAGATACAATTTTTTAATTAAAGTAATTATCGTATGTTTACGAATATTGAAAAATGTGTATTAGAGAAAACACAATATTGTAGTAGCAAAAATATTATACAAAGCACTATAAAAAAGATAAAATAAAAACAACAATCAGTAGTGTATGATTGGCAGCCTAAGTTCTGTTCTAGTTGTATGAAGTTTGGCCGTGAGCTTCCCGCAATGTTGGACAAGACTGATGGGGGTGTGATGGAAGTAATGCAGGGTCAAGCTACCAAAGATGAGACAAAGATTGTTAAGACTAAAATTCCAATGGTAGAAGAGACAAAGAATGAGGACGACGTTCCAAGGGAACCAGAACTAGTGGCATCATCTGGTTGCTTGATACGATTGAATATACCAGTCCTAAATAGCTTCCAAAGTCTAACCATGGAGGCATCCACAAGTACAGGTGACCCCATGGGTCTTCACCACCATGAGATTAGTTACGTGGAATGTTAGAGTGCTGAATCAGCCCTGCAAACAGAAAGAGGAGGCTCTTTCTTAATAATAATAAGGTGGATGTGTTGGGACTCATTGAAACTAGAGTAAAGGAGAACAAGGCTCAAAACATTATATATAAGTTAGGAGTTGACTGGATTGCAACTATCCAATGGGAAGGAATGGTAGAATCTGGTTACTGTGGAAGAATTCGGTCCAAATACATATAGAGAAGCTAAGCGAGAAATTCATCCACCGTACACTCAGTGACCGTACAAGTGACTTTAAGAGTAAGCTCACAGTTGTGTATGCCAAGAATGACAGTCCTACAAGAGCTCAACTTTGGTTAGAGTTCATTGGAATACGGAGACTAACTCATGAGTGCTGGATTATAGCAGGAGACTTCAACAATGTCCTCTCATCAGAAGATAGATTGGGATCCCATGTGTTGCCAGGTGAAACTCAAGACTTTCAGGCTCCATAGACACTTTGGGACTTACAGCACTGAAAGTCATAGGGTGCAATTATACTTCCAGTAATAAACAACAGGGTAGTAGCAGAGTTTACTCTAAAATAGATTGATGATTTGGCAATTTCCCCTGGATGACAGCTTATAGTCATGTGGCTGACTACCTAGGCTCTGGTATATCTGATCATCCCCTAAATCATCCAGATTTTGTAGACTAGTTGATGAAGATTGGCATAAGCAGGTAAGGGAACAGTAATGGAACCATTGTGGCAAAAACTGAAACACGTGAAGATTGGAATAAAGGATCTAAATACTTACATGGAATCTTATGGTCAGAAATTGTTGCATGCAAGACAGGAGTTAGAAATCACTAAGAGCAGCTTAGTTACAAATCCTTTGTGTCCAAGGCTAATTGAAAAGGAGAAACACCTATTGGGAGAACTAAGGAAATGGAGTGATGTTGAGACTCTAGTGTTGCAACAAAAATCTAGAGTGACCTGAATTGAAAGCGGAGATGCTAATATAAAGTTTATTCATGCACAGGTGAAGATCAGGGAAAGTAAAAATTCTATTACAAAGGTGCATGATCCTCAGCTGGTGGAAGCTGAATTTATTAGATTCTAGTCAGAACTAATGGGAGCTCGAGCTGAAAATCTACCAAGCCCTAATGCTGTTTTCATTAGAGAGGGGCCTTGCCTAACATATGAACAGAAATGTAGGCTGGTGATCCCTGTAACTGAAGAAGAGATCATGCTTGCTATCAAAAGTATGCCAGCTGATAAGTCTCCTGGGATTGATAAATTTCCAATAGAATTTTTTGTGAAGAATTGGACAATAGTCAAATCAGATGTGGTTAAGGCTATCCTGGAATTTTTCCACACAGGTAAAATGCTCAAAGCCTTTAGTTGTTCTGCAGTTACTCTTATCCCTGTAGTCCCTAATCCCGTCCAGGTAAAAAACTGCAGACCTATAGCTTGTTGCACCACATTCTATAAGATCATTAAAAAATCTTAACGAACAGAATGAAGCTAGTGATTGACCATATTGTTAGTCCTGCACAGTCTGCTTTCATATAGGAAAGAGTTTTATAGATAATGCGCTCATCAGTCATGAAATCCTAACGTGGTCACTAGGAAAGGGCTATCTCCTCGTGTTATGAAGGTAGACCTATCGATAGAATGGTGCTTCTTGAAATCAGTCTTGGCAGAGTTGGGGTTTCTCTACTTAATGATAAAGTGGGTGATGGCATATGTTACCTCAGTATCATACTCTTTTTTGTTGTTTGGAGGACTCACAACACCCTTTGAGGGGAAGAAAGGTATAAGGCAAGGGGACCCTATATCTCCTTACCTTTTTGTGCTTGCTATGGGATACCTCCAAAGAGAACTCACTCAATTGGATAAGAGAACTAACGACCTTCAGGTGTAAAAGGATGAGTGTCACTCACGTTTGTTTTGCAGATGACTCACTGCTCTTCTGCAAGGCTGAGGTGTAGTCTACTTAGATGTTACATGATGCTTTCATCAGGTTTTCTAATGCTTCAAGGCTGCAGGCTAACAGAGATAAGAGTTGTATATATATGCCTAGGGTGGAACCTAGGCTGAGAAAGGAGATCCTAACTATCTTGGTTATCAAGAAGGTTAGTTTACCATTTTGGGGGTTCCTATATCCTCCAAGAAAATGACTGTGGGACAGTGCTTACCAATAGTTGAAAAGATACTGCAAAAATTAGGTGCAGGTCAGCTAATTTGTTGTCCTATGCTGAAGGACCCAACTAATTAAATCAGTGATATTTGGCATTCAAACATATTGGGGCCAGATCTTTTTGTTGCCTCAAAAAGAATATTGAAAATGATAGTATCTGTAGAACCTACTTGTGGACAGCTAAAACTCTGAGTTCCAAGAAAGCTTTAATATCCTGGGCAAAGCTGTGTACTTCTCAAGCTGCTGGTGGCCGAACTTAATAAATATGACACTTGGAATCAAGCAGCCATCCTAAAGCTATTGTGGGCAGCAACAAAAGAGAAGGAAAGCTTGTGGATACAATTGTTGCAGGTCTATTATATGAAAGGGAAATCTGTTAAAGTATGTTGTATCTCAATGAATGCTACTTGGGTGTTTGAGAAAGATTGTTACACAACAATTACAAGGTGATCTAGGGAGCAGGTTAGCACTGATGGTCCATAATGGTAAATTCTCTATTAAAAAAATGTACGTTAGCCTACTTCCTATTTACAAGAAGGTGCCATGGAAGAGTATTGTTTTGCATCCCATCATCCATCCAAGATTTAAATTCACATGTTGGCTAGCTGCTTGACAAAGATTCACTACAGCTGACAGACTACTGAAGGTTGGAGTCCAAGTTCCCCTAGAGTGCAGCTTCTATAACAATGCAATGGAGACTGTAGAGCATTTGTTCTCTGATTGCTCTGTCACTAAGGCTTTCTGGACAAGAACACTGATTTGGTTAGGCTATTCTAGAAGAATTGGTGACTGGAAAAATGAACTACAATGGGTCAACACTCAGGTTAAAGGTACATCTGAAAAGCGTCCTCTAGTTAGTTGTGTTTTCGCTACACTGGTTGCATTACTATGGAGGGAAAGGAATAAAATCAGGTTTGAACAGGGCCAGCTTCACGTGGACAAGTTGGGCAGGGAAATTTCATATCATCTTCATGTGAGAGCTCAAGGTCTTCCAAGTTGGAAGGCTGCTCTTACTTTGATAGCTGGAGTTCCATCAAGTCAGGCAGACATTGTCCATTTGAATGTTAAGGTAGTCATTGAATAGTTTGAGATAGATTTGATTGTAAGCCTATTATAGTGCCTTCTGTTAGTAGGAAATGAATAGACGGTGTGGCTGTCAGAGTTATGAGAAATAGGTGGTCTGCACCTATTTAGTTTTGTAGTGATTCACTTGGGTTTTGAAATGAAACTATTTCGTTCACCAAAAAAAAAAGATAAAATAAAAGCAACAAGGAAAAATAGGTTTATATGGCAATTTTAGGCTCATACTTCTTTTAAAAATAAGCAAAAAAGATTTGGCATTTTTCCACTTTAATTATGTGAAGAAACCTATATAATACCTGGAAATATTTAGGCATCAACAGTGGAAGGCCATTCCAGTTCGGTATGATCGTAAGCTTCCTCAATCGTCACCTGAGTTTTGTTCTTGTGCTTCCTCAGGAAGTCGTCACCATGTGTGTGCTGATAGAGAAAAGGGGTAAGATATAATTTTTATTCCTTGTTAGGAATATCTGCGGAAGGGAAAAGTTTTGGGTGCCAAGGAGAAGGATCACTAGCGGAGAACAACAGCTACGACCCAATTTTTCTTACAATAACTTACAACTTTTACCCAAAAATATAAATCCTTTCAATTTTCAACCTAATAATTAATTCAATTTTTGGTACATGCGGAATTAGTCAATACTCTAAGTGGGTTTTTGATTTTACCCAAAAATATAAATCCTTTCAATTTTCAACCTAACAATTAATTCAATTTTTGGCACATGCGGAATTAGTCAATACTCTTAAGTGGGTTTTTGACCCTTCCATCTTGCAATTAGTGCTTGGCCAATCTATTTTTCATAAGCTCAAAAGTAGCTTTTCCCCAAGAAAAAAAAATTAAAAGATATTTTTGAGAAATATACACCTCGAAGCACTTTGAAATAGCTTGGCCAATCACTAATAAGAAGTTACTCAAAAGTTCTTTCAAAATTTATTGGTCAAACACAAACTGTTTCTCATCAATACTTTTTTTATTGAGAAGGTAACAACTTGTATTCTATTCCAAAACAAAAAACGAGAACCTGCCACAACAAGTTACAGGTTCCTAATTACAATTGTAGAGATTACTAGGAAGATCTTTAATCCTATAGCAAAATTTACAAGGAACCTAAAACATCTTTGAGTGATTCTAGATCTACCATGTACTCCTGTTTACACCAAAAAAGAAACAAAACTAAGCAGTTCATCTTAATCTTCTGGATGGAATTGCTCTTGTTTTGGAAGCATCTGAGGTTTCTTTCTTTCCACACTGACCACCAGATGCAAGCCGAAATGATTTTTCATCTTTCTTTATGCCCGATAATGCTTGTGTACCTGCTCCATAACTTCAAAGTGTGCATAACTTTCCTAGGCATAACCCATTTCATGTCCTTTTGATTGATAAAGACATTCCACAAAATGTTGGTTATTGTATGGTGAAGGAAGAGATGGTTGACAGTCTTTACTTTTTCTTCACCACATAGTAGGCACCTAGGACTCATTGAATTTTTCTTTTCATAAGATTTTCCTGGGTCAAAACTGTCTGCTTAGCAACGAGCCAAGTAAAACACACACTTTGTAGGGGATTTTAGTTTTCTATATAAACTTCCATGGCCACCCATTCCTCTGACTGTTACAAGGATTAAATTTTTTGTACGCTCTTCTAACACTGAAACTGTCCCGATTGTGATCCTGCCATCACAAACTATCTTGTGCATGAATAGTTCCTTTGAATTGCCCCAAGACCTTGTAAAATCCACCACCCTTTGGATCTTCCAGTCATTTAGAGGTCTTCTAAAGCACAGACTCAATCTTTGGTTTGACCACATCTCTACTACAGTGGCCCTTTGCTGCTGGTTTAGGGTGAAAAAACTCGGGAACAAGGTTTTTAAAGATCCTCGTTCTAGCCAACTATCTTCCAAAAAAAGAGGTTTTCTACCATTCCCCAATTTAATACTGCAATTTTCTCTGAGCTTTGGCCAATGGTTTCCGATGGCTCTCCAATGGCTTGATCCATAAGTGCTAGTGACCGTTTTATTATCCAGAGATCCTCCATTTCATATTTGGCTGTATTACATCTTTCCACAGAGCTTGCTTACTGGAAGCAATCTCCATAGCCACTTTATCATAAGACACTGATTTTGAATTTTTAAATTCCGTATCCCCATCCCCCCTGCCTGTTTACTCTCAATCAGAGTATCCCACTTCACCAAGTGGAATTTCTTGGTTTCACTGTTTCCTTCCCACAGGAAATTCCTCCACAAAAAGCAGCAAACCTGTCAATAACGACATCAGGCATAGGGAAAAGTAATATCATATATGTAGGCATAAAGTCCAAAATACTATTGATGAGTGTTAATCTTCCTCCTAAAGAAAAGGCACTGGCTCTTCCAATTCACCAACCTTTTTTCACATTTTACAATCACCCCATTCCAAATGCCTAAAGATTTGCTTTTGGCTCCCAAGGGCATCCCCAAGTATGTAGTCGGTAGATATCCTGTCCTTCCGCCCAAGATCCCTTAAAATCTTGAGTTGGTTCTTGTTAGCATCACAGAAGACAACAGTGTCATCTGCATATTGTAAGTAAGTAATCTCTAGATCAGCCCCCACTCTACTGGAAACCCTAAAACCTCTCAATCGCGCCTTTTCTCGAGCGATTTTCAAAATATCATTTAGCCCCTCCATTGCAATAATAAAAAGACATTTCAAAATAAGCTCATTTTAGAAGTTTGGCCAAATATGCTATAAGCCCCGTTTTAGTTATCTAGAGATCCTCCATTTCATATTTGGCTTGTATTCATTCTTCTTGAGCAAATACGTCGAGATTTTAGCGTTGCTTGATAGAAGCCATGGGGCCACTATTGATCCTTCTGATTCCGAAGAGGCAACGGAGTTATAATCTCAATGTTCCACTATGACGATATTACAAGACTAAGACACTCTTTGGATTAAAGGATGAACTAATTGGGGGAGAATATATTATGCACTTAATTGACAAGATGTTTGTTGAGCAATTAGAAATTGTTTTTTTGCTAGATTTAGAACAACAAATCAATAGCTTAATTAGTATAAAATTTGCGAACTCTAAAGAATCTATTAATTGTAGCATGACACTAACCCTTAGAGAAAGTAGTATATTTCAAATACCTTTTATTAGTGCTTTAGTTGTAGGACACTATTTGGACTACTCAAGTCTTAGGGTAAGCAATTTGTCTTTCAACTCTTTAGATAGGAAGAGATGAATTGGGGAAGTGCATTATATATTTTGTAGAGAAAATGGTTTTATACTTCACCAAATTCATAAGCGCCCCTTAAACTTAACTCTAATTTTCATTTTGACACCTCAACTAAGACATGTTCCTATTTGACATTCCATGTTTTATGTATTTGGCCAAGTACACAATCATTTTTTCTCTAAAAACATATATTGAACTTCCTCAATTTCTCTCTCCCAATAAAGAGTTCAAATCACGCCCAAAAACATAAGTTATCACTCATAAAAGGTATTTGGAATTTACTACCATCTAAAAAAAATCACTATTTTTCCTTTTGGGTTAGTGTTATGCTGCAAACTGCACTTATATATGCTATTTACTCTACAACAAAAGAGACATAGTAGCAATAGATTTTCCTTTAGCGGTAATAAATAAGTTAATACCATTGTATCCGAAGTCACCAACGCGTTTGGGCCATTTATATTGAGTAATTATTATAAATACTCATATTTATTATTCCCGCGAAATCCTTTATTTGTTATAATGTCAGTGTTTACAAATTTTAATACTAGTAAAGGTAATTATTTGACATTCTAAATTTAGCAAAAACAACTTTTTATGTATAATTTATTACTCCCTCCGTCCACTTTTATTGTCATGTTGTGCTTTTCAAAAATCAATTTGACTTAATTTCAAAGTTTAATTATATTACATTAATTCGATTTTTTAAACAAAAAATTTAGATATTCAAAATCTATTTGAAAAGTACTATACATTGCAATTTTTTACATATCAATATGATGAAAAAATATATTCTAATATGTTAGTCAAGGTTTTTAAAGTTTGACACTAAAAATGGAAAGTATGACAATTAATAGTGAAAGGGAGTACTTAAAATGAGCAGATTTTATGCGTTGATAATCTTAGTAAAAGCAAACAGAGACTACTTGAATATATCCATTGTTTTTCTTTGTGGGTTTAAGTTCTATGAAATAAAGGGAAACACAATATACAAAATACAAGGTCCGAGGAAGGGTTGTATACTAATGGGTATTCATGTAAAGAATCTATTTCATAAAACAATTTGGGGTTTATCTAATACTTAAGGTCAATTACGTCATATTGATCTTTGATGGTTTCTTGATAGGATTTGAATTGTGTTTTCTTGTATGATGTATTAAAATGATTTTGTTTCACTTGTCACTTCTTTAAGTATTGACACCACTTAAACTTATATGTATGCCACGGTATCTCAAATCAAGTTAAATATCAAGCGCAGTGGTTTGGGCTTGGGACTTCCATATTGGAGGTCTCAAGTTCGAAACCCCTTGGTATCGAAAGTAAAGGATTTGTCTTCTAGATCGAGCTTGTCGCACCATGCTTGCTTAGTGTGGGTTACTTCTCCTATGTGCATCCAAAGGGTATTGGATGCAGGTTTTCCTTGTCATAAAAAAATAGGAATAGTTGATGATACACCTTTATTTCTTATCTAGATAGTTTGGGGATTCCATGCTACATATTGTTATTAATTCTCTGCAAGTTCTTGGTGATTATTGTTATAAGTGCTCCTTTTGTTCTTGTGTTGAATTGACAATGTGAATAGAATTTTTGCACACTAAAAAATGCAATGGAAATGGGATTCCTCCAACAACAATAAAGTCCTAAAGAGAAAAGTTAATCTAAATCATCACCAAATAATTTTGACATTGAAAGAAGAACTAAATAAGGAGATGAATTTTAAATGCATTGAAGTAATTGACAACAAAATATGGTTTCAAAGGAAAGGAGATAAAAATATAAGTTTGGAGAAGGGAGCATATTAAGGGAAAAACCCGACAACAAAAATGGGATTCCTCCTACAATAATGAAGTCATATAGAGAAATTAATTTGAATCCTCTTTTGACAGTGAAGGAGGAATCAAATTAGGAGATTTATTATACCTTACATCCCTTTTCCTTTTACTTCCATTTTTCCTTTTTCCTTTACTTTTTTTTAAAAAATTGGTTAATTGTATTATTCGGCATCAAGGCTATGCTGGCCACCTCCAAAAAGTTTACGGGAAAGGAAAAGAGAGATACTTACAATGAGCCTACAAAATCCACTCTCTGTTCTTTACACCAAAAACCTAGTGAAGTAATAAATTTCCACTTAATCTTCAAAATAGAGGATTTTTTCCCTCAAAATCCTCTGGTTCCTCTCCTTCCAAATGGTCCACCACTCCATCGGATGCAGGTCGGGACTGTCCTCCGCCATCAATTCTGGATTTTGCTTCCTCCTCCTTTAATCCAACAGCTAAGCAAGTCTACAGTATGTTCGAGCATGACCCTGTTGATTCCAACAATAGAAGTGAACATAGCCCAAACTAGTGTTGTTACTTTGCAATGCATGAAAAGGTGTTTGTTGATTTCTAGTGCCTCTAGATGCTAAGATGGACCGCCTTTTTTGCATTGCCTCATGTGTCAAGCATGCTTTCCTAGCTACCAGCCAAGTGAAGCATTTCACTTTATTAGGAGACACACTCTTCCATATAGTATTCCAAGGTATAGTTGACCTGCCTGCAACTACACTCAGTCCCCTCTTATATACCCAGTTAACAGTGAAAAATTAATCATTGTGGTGCCCCTAAATGAGTTTGTTCGAGTCTCTATTAGTGCCTTAGGAAGTTTCCTATTAGGTTTAGAAAATCTGCTACTCATGGTATTTCCCAATCATTTAGGAGTCTTCTGAACGTCAGGTTCCACCCTTGAGGGGACCACATTTCTTGTATACGACATCCAGTATTCAAGCTTATTGAAAACAGTCCAGGGAAAAGGGAATGAAGAGTGCCATGACCTCCCCTACCAAATCTAACTTTAGTGTTAAGCTTGAGAGTCATCAATAGATTCCTGATAGATTTCCAAACCCCAAACCCAAACCTAAAGGTACACTGCCCCTCCGGACCATACTTATGAAGGATAATCTCCTTCCACAAGGACTGATTTGCTTGAGTTAATCTCCATAGCAATTTGATAAGTAAAATCTTATTATGAAGCTTTAGGTTCCTCACTCGACCTCCAAAACTCTTGCTTTGCTAATCTGTGCTCCATTTTACCAGGTTGAAACTTTTCTCAATCTTGCTTCTTTCCACAAGAAATCCAGCCTCAACTTGTCTAAGATTTTCACCACCTCACCAAGGAATGGGAAATAAAGACATTACATATGCTGGCAAAGAATCTAGGACTGCATTGATCAAAACAACTCTACCTCCGAGGGAAATGTATTGTGCTTCCCAAAGAGCTAGTCTTTTTTCTGTTTTCTCTATTACTCCATCCCGTATATTCACAACGTTGTGATTAGCCCCCAAGAGCATTCCCAAATAAATTGTGGGCAACAACTCCTCTACCCTGCACTTCAAAGTATCTGCCAAGAGACTGAGTTTGCTGCACCTCTTTCACTGGAAAAATATTGCTTTTCCTCCGGTTAACCTTCAACCCAGAGCAAGCTTCAAAGATCACCAGTATCAACGTTAGGTAGCAAATTTATTCTTGTTTAGCTTCGTGAAAACCAGTGTCATCCACATATAATAAAAAACATTTTCCTCTTTCCTTTACTCTTTTCCTTCTTTCCAAAACAGTGGCAGTGGTGACTTGCTCGAAATGTATTTGGTAACAAACTATGGTTTTAAACAAGTAATTATACACGCAGGTTTGCGAGAAAAGATAGAGAAAGTAAGTGTCAAACGTTTTATTTTAATACAGTTCAAAAAACCCAAAAAACGTTTTCTTGTACAATTCTATATTCATCCAACATTCAACAAATTAAAGACTTGAATGCAGTTAAATAAGTTACAATACATTTGGTGAAACTGCTGCTATTTGCGTTTGCTTGGGGAAAGCAAGCGCGCAGCTTTAACAATTTGTTAATCCAGAGACTTGGTGAGCTTTTAACATAGCGAAGGAATGAAAAAAAGAAAGAGAGAGAAAAGGTAGTTTTATTGGCCAAAGAGAGATGTCAAGTCACCTTGTCTTTAATGACCTCTCTCTATATTATTAGCACGGTAAAATATAAAACATAAACCTAATGCAAAAATTTAACTGAATTCACCTTCAGAAATCGATATACACAACATCGTTGGAGTTTTCTTTTGTTTGGTGTTAAAAAGGCGCCCTACAGTCCAATTTCCTGTAGAAGTTATTAAAGACAATCTAGACATATGAAATAAATTGTCTTAAATTAAATCTCTATATATATTAAAATCATGCAAAGACAAGGTGATGTTGATAAGTCTCAAATCAACATATATAACAATTGTATTTTTCTATCTCAACAGAGAACCAATACACTCAAGAGTGCTGAGGGGAAGACACAAAAGGCTCAGATATGTAGGATGTTGTACGCTGAGTATATTCATGGTCTTTAGATAGAGAGAAATATGAAAATCTTTGGGGATAAGGCACAACCACCCCTAGACTATGATCGAAATTCTAGAGAAACACCTTCACTAAACTAAAGTCCTATTACCCCTAACTCATTTCTTTTTTGTAATTTTGCACACCTTTTGGCTTACGTGGCACACTCCGTGACTCCATGCAATTGAGGCGTGTGGGAGATATTTGAATGCCATGTAAGCCAAAAAGGTGTACAGAATTACAAATAATGGGTTCAAGGGAGTAATAGGAACTTAATTTAGTTAAGGTGTGTCTCTAGGATTTCGGTCATAGTCTAGGGGGTAATTGTACCTTTTCCCAAATCTTTGAGCAGAAAAGCAGCGAATGGGGAGGTCTGGCCAGAAAAATTGCTACTGTTTTTGTTTCACAACTTAAATTCTAGTTATTTTAGCTCTGCAGAGCACACTTTTCCTGAGTTTAAAGCTTAGGATAGCAGTGTGTGTCCTTTCCGCTATGATGTTGTAAATGCTTCACATTTGATAACTAATACAAAGTTCAGTTACCAAAACAATAATAAATCAAAGAGGGGAAAAAAGTTGAACAAAAAAAACTTAGACGAATCAAATGTGAAGTATCATACCGCCCATAGGCTTTACACCAGAGGTTTCCTATAGATGGTTGATTTGCTCTTCTCTACAGTTTCTTATCTATAACAACGTAAAGTGAACGAAAAGAAATCAAAATGATCAAGTAACTCTAAAATGACATGTGAGAATCATATTAACACAAGAATAACTCGAATTTTTTCTTTTTCTAATTTTTCTCTATCTCTGTTACTTCAACTACAGAGTATACAATCACAAACACTTCTTAGTCTGTTTGGAGACATCTGGTTAGAACTCCAAAGTGTGTGCACTTTCCAAAACAAATAGAATTTATTGAACAAACAGATACAAGCAAATCACAAGTTAATGTAGCAATTCTACGCTTATGTAGCAAAAAAGATGTGAAGAAAGCTCTAAAGTACCTGGAAATAATTAGGCCATTTCAGATCGGTACCATCGTAAGCTTCCTCCGTCATCATCCTTCGTCGCTTGTCGGAGAAATAGGCAGGTTAGCCGCACCTAATGTGCCCCCAAAAGAAAAAGGGGCAAGAGGAAAAAATTATTCATGTGAAAAAAGGGAAATATAAAACATTTTTACCTTTTTTTGAATTGACCTAATATTTACTGAACTAAAAAAAAAATTTAAAAGGTCTAGTCGCAAAAAATTATCTCAATCGTTTTTTACCCCTTTCATTTAAAAAAAATAGTTGGGTGTGAATAAACTGAAAATAGTTAGAAATTCTTTAGCTACTCAAATTAGACTGTTGTAACAATCATTCTAAGTTCATTACTTGAATTAATTGAGTTGGAAACGTGTGAATAAAGTCACATTTTTGCTAGTTCGTTATTAGGATTTAGGAGTAGTTCCTATGAAGGATCAGACTAATGACATATACAATGCTTGAATTTTCTATGTAAATGGTGCGTAGTTATTTCTCATTCTTCAGAGACTGAGTGTAATAAGAGTATTCGCCGACAGAAGGATCAGCCTAAAAGGATCATCTCATGGCAGTTGAAAACGAATTAAATGAGATGTTGATATCAATCATCTCGTGGTTATTGAAAATGAATAAAATCAGATGTTGAAATCATTGGCATGTGTTAGTGTTTAATGTTGTTTGATGCGACATTGCTTTTAGTATAGAGTATGGATTCCTTTTACTGTATGAAGATATCTTCCCTGATCAATTACTCAACAATCTGAGGTTTGGTATGCCAATGCCACTCATTCAAACTGACAAGTCCAATTACAAGCAATTCAACCAAATACCAGAAACAGTGGACTTTCTCATGAACAAAATCTTATGTATAAAACTTACCTTCATTCTAATGCATCTATTGATTTGATGTAAAACACGCAATCCAGCTAAGTTTTTTTCATACAAAAGGGTGAATCGTCTTTTGCTTGGTTTAAGTAAACTTGGAAACTGATCAGTTTCTTAGAATGTGTTTGGATTGGCTTAAAAGTTGGTCATACCTACTTTAAAGTTAGTTGTTGACTTTCAGAAGTGTTTGGCAAATACTAAAATAAATTCAAATAAGTCAAAAATGACTTAAAATAAGTTTAGAAAGTATTTGGCAAGGTTAAAAATAACTTCAAATAAAATTAAAATGACTTAAAACAAGTTAAAAACCGAAAATAGGCCTCCGCTACTTTCTTACTTTTTTTGACTTAAAAGTCATTTAAGTTTGAATTTTTATTTTTGACCTACAAGCTATTTTTTTTTAAGTCAATCCAATCAGACTCTATCCCTCCAAAATTGAAGAAAGAAAAGAAAAACTGAAGAAACCAAAAACTCTTCGATAACTCATTCATGAGCAGGCAGTAATTTTCAAATGGAAAAGGAAAAGTTACAAACCGCAAGGATGAGATCAACAAATTCCGCCACGGCTTCCCTCCAATCTTCCAATCTTTTAACATGTTATCAGAGACCCCTGGTAATCTAATCCAATCCAAACACTTATAAATGAATTTCAGTTTGTATTTTCTGAAACAACATCCCTTCCACCACTTAGAGCACATTCTCATGTTATTCCTCTGTTACCAAATCGTGGTTCGGATCAAAATGATCCTACGTCCACCAAAGAACAACTGCACCAATATTTATTTCACTATACAAAGAATATAAGTGAAATACTACAAGAGAGAGAACACAATGCCTTAGAAGGTGAGAAGGCAAGTGAAAGGATGATTTGAAAATGAATTAAGAGCTACCTATTTATAGGAATAAATTCATCCTATTGATGTCATCCATGACATCGCTATGTGTCAAAATTGTCAAGGTTAAGATAGCAAACCATAATGGTTTGCTTTATGGTTTGCTTAACTTTCACCTATTAAGATACAATCTTTGACTTGTATTTCCTACTAATTATCTTCCTACCAAATATTCATATTAATTCATCTTCCATTTAGTTTGATTCCACAAGAACCAAAACCAACTCTTTCATTTACTATTGTTTTCAATAACCTATCCTAGTATGTTGTTTATTATGTATTGATTATCGCACTATTTTGTTATCTTTGCTCCATTTTGGTAGACTTTTATTGCTTTCTTGTTAAGTGCTATATTTTTCGTCTCCTTCTTTTTACCTGGATTTGCTACATTGAGCCGAAGGTCTTTAAAAGAAAGCCTCTGTACCTCCACGAGGTAGCGGTAAGGTTGGCATACATTCTACCTTTCCCAAACACCAATTATGGGATTTCATTGGATATGTTGTATTACCCAAATTATTAATCCTAATTACATATTTAAAAGTTACATTTTTCTGAAAATAAACATAATCCTAATCACATATTTATAGAGAACATATAATAGGATAAGACTATGAGTCCCAGGATAACTCCTGAGGTTTGCTATCCTGAGATAACTCATCCCACCATCTATGTGAGATAACTTATCCCATCACTATGATATAAATGGTGGGATAAGTTATCCCAAACATGGCAACCAAACAAGATAAATTTTTTTATCCCATCACTATTATTTTTAATCCCTCGCACCGAACGACCCCTTACAAAATAAACTAGGAACAATAACCGCTAGACTAACTGCTGCAAATCAAGGAAACAGTGTTGTAGCAGTTGTGTTTTTCCAGAACTCTTCAAACCTTTAACCTTTTGTTGACAGTTTCTTCTGAAGTACGTCTGGAAAGGTGGATTGGTATCCCTCCGGAAAGATACCTTGTTCTTGAGGCAAAAAAAGGATATTGAACACCAAGCAAGTCATAGCAAGGGGTTTGATCTTGAGACTTTCATGTTGGAGGTCTCAAGTTCGAAACCCCTTGCCAGCGAAAACCTATGTGGTTTTTGAGCTATTGCATAGGAGCGGGGTTTTACCCTGTGCACATCCAAAGAATAGCGGCTGCGGGTTTTCCCTTGTCCTAAAAAAAAGTCATAGTCTTCCCAACTAGCCTCTTCAACAGGTACGACGCAATTGAATAAGTGATTTAAGAGTTGGTACTCCCAATTCTTTCACCCATGGATGTGATAAACCTTTTTCAGGCTCCACCATGAATTCCAATTCACCCAATAGTGGTAAGGGTGGAGGGGAAGCAATATCAGAACAATCACAAGCAGGACGAAACAGCGAGACTTGAAAAATCAGATAGACCTTGGATGTTTGAGGTAGCAGCAATTCATAAGCAACAAGACCAACTTTGCGAACAACTTTGTATGGTCATATCTAGGTGAACGTTTCTCATTTGGATGTTTGGCTAAACTCTTCTGCCGATAAGGTTGCAAACGAAGGAATACGACATCAACCACATGAAAAGATAGGTCACACCGCTTGTGATCAGCTTGAGATTTCATTCTTGATTGAGCCTTCATTAGACTGGAGCTTAGTACTGTTAACATTTGATCTTGCTTAGTTTCTCCATCACTCCATGAACAAAGGGATACAAGAGTGGTGGTTCCGTCTCTTACACAATCTGGAAATGAGTCATATTGGTGGAAGAATGGTAGCTACCGTTGAATGAGTATTTAGCCCAAGATAGATACTGAAGCCATGATTTTGGCTCGTCGTGAGCAAAATAATGCAAGTAAATTTCAAGGTATCGATTGACCACACCTTCATTTGCACGTCAGATTGGGATGATATGATGTACCCATACTGAGACAAGTGCGACTAAGGCGAAAAAGTTCCTGCCAAAATGCACTTGTAAAACAACATCACGATCCGAAAGAACAAAGCAGGGTAAAAAACATGCAACCTGAAAATTTCATTATAGAAAACATCAACCACTGTTGTAGCAGTAAAGGGATGAGATAAAGCAAGAACTGGCTGTATTTGCTAAACCTGTCCACCACCACAAGAATAGTATTAAAGACATTAGGAGGAAGTCCACAATGAAGTCTTGGGAACTATCCTCCCAAACTGTTAGGAACATGTATAGGCTGTAAGAAACCAACTGGAGCTAACGTTTCATATTTATGCTATTGGCATATCAACAAATTCTGGACAAACAACTTAACATCATGAAAGAGTTGGTTTTGGTTCTTGTGGAATCAAACTAAATGGAAGATGAATTAATATGAATATTTGGTAGGAAGATAATTAATAGGAAATACAAGTCAAAGATTGTATCTTGGTAGGTGAAAGTTAGGCAAACCATATAATGGTTTGCTATCTTAACCTTGACAATTTTGACACATAGCGATGTCATGGATGACATCAATAGGATGAATTTATTCCTATAAATAGGTAGCCCTTAATTCATTTTCAAATCATCCTTTCACTTGCCTTCTCACCTTCTAAGGCATTGTGTTCTCTCTCTTGTAGTATTTCACTTATATTCTTTGTATAGTGAAATAAATATTGGTGCAGTTGTTCTTTGGTGGATGTAGGATCATTTTGATCCGAACCACGTTAAATATTGTTGTTCTTCCTTGTTCTTTAGTTTCACGTTTCCGCTAACAATTGGTATCAGAGCAAGGTTCTGTCTGAGTATGCTCTGTGGTTGCAGCACAGTCTGAACTTCCACATCAGAAAAGGATTACTTTGGTTTTCTGTAGTTCCAAATACATTGTAGTAGAAAAGGAAGAACAAGTAAAAAAAAATGAGTTCCATGAAGTTTGAAATTGATAGATTTAGTGGATGCAACAACTTCAATATCTGGAAAATCCAGATGATAGCGTTACTGCGGAGGGAATGTTCAATCCATGCTATTGACGGAAAGTACCCCGATAAGATATCGGAATCCGATAAGGAAAAGATTGAAGGAGATGCATTGAGTGCAATCCAACTGTCCCTTACACCTAACGTACTTTGTGAAGTGAGTACAAGTACCGAAGAGACGGCCAAAGAGTTATGGGAAAAGCTGGAAGGGCTTTACCAGGACCAGTCAGTGACAACAAGGATGTTGTTACAACGGCGTCTTCATACATTTAAGATGGATTCAGGTTCTTTGTTGCAAGACCATCTAGATGCGTTCAATAAACTTGTGATGGACTTACAAGCTGCTGGAATTAAAAAGGACGAGGAGACACTTGCATGTTGTTTACTATTTTCATTGACTTCAAAATATCGTGATATTGAGAATTCAATGATGTATAGCAAACAACCTATTAAACTTGAGCAAGTGCGGCAAGCACTAAACTCTTGTGATGTGCGAATGCATTTTGAAGGAGACAAAAGTGACGAAGCTAGTGGACTCTTTGTAAGAGGTCGTACTAGCCAAAAGGGAAGGAGCAAATCGAAGTACAGATCAAAGTCTCGTGTGAACAAAAAGAATGCGGAGTGTTGGGGCTGTCACAAGAAGGGGCACTTTGAACGAGATTGCCCTATGTCGAAGTCCAAAGAAAAGGCGAGTGCATCCATTGTTGAGAGAGTACATGATAATGATGATGATTATGTACTAACAACATCATGCAATAATGGAGTCTATAACAACAAATGGATCTTAGACTCTGGTTGTACTCTGCATATGACATTCCGAAAAGATTGGTTCAGCAGCTATGAAACAAGCAGAGGAACTGTATTAATGGGCAATAATGCAACTTGAAAAATAGTTGGCATTGGTTCAGTTCATGTTCGCTGCCATGATGGAATCATGAGGACTATTACAGAAGTCCGTCATGTTCCTGATCTCAAGAAGAATTTGATCTCCCTGGGTACTTTAGATAAACAAGGCTATAAGTACATGAGTGAAGGAGGAACTATGAAAGTGACTAAAGGGTCTTTAGTCATGTTGAAGGCCAAGCTGGAGGATGGCCTCTACACACTTGCGGGAAGCACCATTATTGGCTCTGTAAATGCATCTACAGTGCAGTTATCTAATGATGACAAGGCAAAATTATGGCACATGAGACTAGGCCATATGAGCGCACGAGGATTAGAGATGTTGAGCAACCGCAACCTTTTGAATAGTGAGAAGAATCAGCACACTTGAATTTTGTGAGCACTGCGTCTTAGGGAAGCAGAAAAAGGTCAGCTTCAACACTGGCAAGCACAAGACGGGAGGGGTGCTAGACTACATCCATTCAGATTTATGGGGTTCCTCTAAGCTTCCATCAAAGGGAGGAAAGAGGTATCTTCTCACATTCATTGATGATTTTTCACGAAAGGTTTGGGTGCGTTTCCTGAAGACAAAAGGTGATGCTTTTGAAGCATTTAAAGAGTGGAAGATTTTGGTTGAAAATCAAATTGAGAGGAAAATCAAGTATCTTCGCACGGACAATGGCTTGGAGTTTTGCAGTGAAGAGTTCAATGATTTCTGCAAGGTTCATGGGATCGCAAGGCATAAGACGGTCAGGCACACACCACAGCAAAATGGAGTTGTCGAGAGAATGAACAGAACTCTTCTTGAGAAGGCTCGTTGTATGCTCTTACAAGCTAAGATGTCCAAAGTATTTTGGGCTGAAGCAGTTTATACTGCTTCTCATATTGTCAATCGGTCTCCAGCATCAGCGATTGACTTTAAGACTCCAAATGAGGTCTGGTCAGGGTATGTTGATGGAGTAAAAGGGTACAAACTATGGTGTTTGTCTTTACTCAAATTTGTAGTTAGTAGAGATGCTACCTTTGATGAATCCTCTATACTTGATCCTCGTAAAGTTTCTGTGGAGTCATCTAGAAACGAGAACAACGAGCAGGTGGAGCTACCGGTGGAGCTTACCAAGAAACGAGATCAAGAGACTCAAAGTGATGAGTCAAAAGATGCAGAAGAACTTGCTTCCAATGAACCATACACAATTGCGAAGGGAAGGGACAAAAGGCGGATACGGAAACCGGAACGTCTTATAGAGCAAGAAAATCTGATTGCACAAGCGTTCGTAGCTGCAGAAGAAGAGATTAAGGATCTCGAGCCCTCTTCGTATATTGAAGCAACTTCTTGCAAAGATGCTGCACAATGGCAGTTGGCCATGATGGAAGAGATGGAGTCTCTTCACAGAAATGAGACATGGGTCTTAGTTAAAAGGCCAAAGGGGATAAGGACAGTTGGATGCAAATGGGTCTACAGAAAGAAAGAAGGTATTCCAGAAGTGGAAGCTGCTAGGTTCAAGGCGAGATTGGTTGCAAAGGGTTTCAGTTAGAAGGAGGGAATTGACTACAATGAGATCTTTTCTCCAGTCGTGAAACATAGCTCAATTCGCGTGCTGCTAGCATTGGTTGCACAGTTTGATTTAGAGCTTCAACAGCTTGATGTCAAAACAGCTTTTTTACATGGTGATCTAGAAAAGACAATCTATATGGATCAGCCTGAAGGTTTCCTAGCTGAAGGAAAAGAAGACCATGTATGCCAACTGAAGAAGTCTGTGTATGGTTTGAAACAATCCCCTAGACAGTGGTACAAGAGGTTTGATGCATTCATGACTACACATGGATTTTCGAGGAGTGCATTTGATAGTTGTGTGTATCACAAGAAAATGTCTGAGATAAATATTTTGAAGAAACTGTTGAGCAAGGAATTTGACATGAAGGATCTAGGAGTTGCAAAGAAAATCCTTGGAATGGAAATTTCAAGAGAAAATGGTGTTGTACATCTTTCTCAGAAGAGGTACATCCGAAAAGTTCTTGAAAGATTCAATATGGATACGAGCAAGCCTGTAAGTACACCTTTAGCTTCTCATTTCAAGCTTTCAGAGTTACAAATGCCTCAATCTATGGATGAGGTGGAGCATATGTCAAAGGTTCCTTATGTGAGTGCAGTTGGTAGCATTATGTATGCTATGGTATGCACACGTCCAGATATTGCCCAATCTGTAAGTGTAGTAAGCAAGTATATGGCAAATCCAGGAAAAAGGCATTGGGAAGCTGTCAAGTGGATATTGAGATATCTCAAAGGAGCTCCTGATGTTGGCCTAACATTTCGGAAAAGTGAAGGTATTTCAATTCTCGGTTATGTTGATTCTGACTATGCAGGGGATCTTGATCGAAGGAGGTCCACAACTGGATACATCTTTACTCTCGTTGGCAGTGCCGTTAGTTGGAAATCGACTTTACAGTCGATTGTCGCTTTGTCTACAACAGAGGCAGAATATATGGCAGCAACGGAGGCAGTGAACGAAGCTATCTGGTTGAAAGGTTTGGTGGCAGAATTGAGTTCAGCTCAGCTTAAATCAATTCTAAAATGTGATAGTCAAAGTGCTATTCATTTGATTAAAAATCAAAGATTTCATGAGCGCACCAAACACATTGATGTCAGATTTCATTTTATTCGAGATGTCGTAGAAAAGGGAGCTATCAAGGTTGAGAAGGTTATCACAGACGATAACGCTGCAGACATGTTGACCAAAATAGTCCCGCTTGCCAAGTTTGCACACTGCAAGGACTTGGCGGGAGTATGCATCAATTGATGAAACTCTAAGAGAACAACTGCTAGGTGGAGCTGGTATGTTCAACAAAGGTTTGATTCTTCTTGTTTCTTACAATGGGATTGCCCAGTAAGCTTAGAAGTTTTGGCCGGAGTTGTTTATACGCATGCTTGGAACACAAACCAAGGTGGAGATTGAAAGAGTTGGTTTTGGTTCTTGTGGAATCAAACTAAATGGAAGATGAATTAATATGAATATTTGGTAGGAAGATAATTAGTAGGAAATACAAGTCAAAGATTGTATCTTGGTAGGTGAAAGTTAGGCAAACCATATAATGGTTTGCTATCTTAACCTTGAAAATTTTGACACATAGCGATGTCATGGATGACATCAATAGGATGAATTTATTCCTATAAATAGGTAGCTCTTAATTCATTTTCAAATCATCCTTTCACTTGCCTTCTCACCTTCTAAGGCATTGTGTTCTCTCTCTTGTAGTATTTCACTTATATTCTTTGTATAGTGAAATAAATATTGGTGCAGTTGTTCTTTGGTGGACGTAGGATCATTTTGATCCGAACCATGTTAAATATTGTTGTTCTTCCTTGTTCTTTAGTTTCACGTTTCCGCTAACAGTAAACAATGATAAATATCAAAAACAAGAACTACAATAATATAACTAGTACGATGGAAAACACCAACCACCCTAAGCAGGATAACGCTACACTATACTACCTACTAACATTCTAACCTAATATGTGTCCTCCACGCCCTCGCATCTATGTTCATGTCCTTGGTAACCTAAAGTTGCATCATGTCACATCTTACTAGCTCTCTCCACTACTTTTTCGTCTAGGCTCTTAAATTTTCCAATGATGGGATATCCTCATATGAGAAAAGTAAACACTTTTTGGGGATCGTAACCCTATTTAAAAATGCTCAAGTTAATGTAATTCTAGTTTAGCCCATCATTAAACTGGTAATACGTCAATAACATCCCAGTATATAACATAAGGCCTCATACTTTATAGACCTCATACTTCATGAAGAGACTTTAGACCCATTTAACTTCTAACCTTACTAGATCACTATTAATTTAAGTCAGCCTTTTTAAAGAGAGCAACCAACATACAATTAATCTTAATACAATATATGTGCAATTCCATAAAAAGTTCTAACCTTCAATTAAAACAATTAGTTTTATGACTTTCGTGCAATAATGCTAAACCGTTTTCCACCCATCTATATTTGATCTGCCCATTTGCCGTACATCTATCACACACATCACACTAGACCAATAGCCATGGGAACCATACAAAAAGAAGTTCACACCCGTTCAAATATTATGAAAAGAGTGAATAAGAACAATGTAACTTCCAGTTGGAAACGAAAAGGTCCACAAAATGGGAGATTACATGAATAATATATATCATACAAAGTATAAGTTGCATATGTGCTTGCTAGTAGACAGACTATATTCATACCAGCAACAAATCTCAGACCTCCATGGATCTCCCTTACAGGCATAGCTTCAAGTTGGGCCATATATAAGGAATTGACCAGATAGAGAATCAACAGACTGCAAACCACAACAAAATATTGAAACAATCCATTTATCATTCCATAAATCATTCATGAACAAGCACTAAATGTAAAAACCCTTAACATGTAATGATAATGTTTTTACAAACAAACTAATCAAGACATCCACCCAAAACTGCTCCAGTTCTGAACAGACATAACAGCAAGGCAAAACAGTGTTATACTACCACATAAATATTTATTTCTGTGACAGTGTTAGAAGTTACTGCAAGAAAAAAAGAAGGTACAATGTTGTTTACAGCCCACCAACATCTTCTTCTTCACCATTTGTTACTTTGCCACTTCAAGCAACAGAGGCTGCTACTAATTTTCTCGAGATTAGAGGTCTGCTGTTTACTAAATCCATTTGAGTGATGATTTTGTCAAGGAATAAGAAACAGGTTTGATGTTAAAGAGGTAACAGCATAGTTTCTGAGCGAAGTTATGAAATTGTTTGCCAGAGTAGTGCTGCTGGAAAAGGGTATAACTACGTTATGCCTGATCAGAATGAATTTCAGTCACGCAATTTAAATTCAACAGGATCCATAGATTTATTGAATGGAACGCAGTAGTTGTGTTTTCGGGAGCTCTCTTCCAACTTTTTTTTGCTAGTCCAAACACTAATTATGCAAAACTGCAGTTTGTTTGTTTTTACCTTTTCGGTTGTAAGAAGTGATTTGGAGCTTTTAATTACCAACTTATCTTTTTTCTGTAAAAGCTCAAATTTCATTTTTCTTAATGTGCTATTTGATCGAATTTGCAGAAAAATGGTGGCGGAAATCTGTTATGAAAGTTGGGCAGATCAATTTGTTGAAAAATAGTAGCCTAATATGTATAAAATCAATCATTGCAGATTTGTCTTGCTCAACTAAGCTGGAAGAATCAGAAAGACACGCCACAGATCAATGGAGGGTGATGGTGGCAGGAAGAGAAGGAGGAAGGTAGAGGGTTGGTGGGAAATATTTGCTTGGACTCTTCAAGTCTTCAATCTCAATCTACTGCTTAAGAGAGATATTAGGAAAAACAGCATAGAGAAAGTCAGGAATTTCCCCCAAAATGTGGACTTTTGGCTGCCAAATTCCAGAAATTCTGTGAGAATTTTGATAATATGCAAAGTCCATGAATGTGATCGCATATGTCCTTAGTTAACTGAGTTAACGATCAGTCTGGTAGTAGTAATAGCTCAAGTCACATTCAGATGTTTTATAGAACTCAGTGCTGGAATGTAATTTATGAATCTCAATTGCCAGTTGTGACTTGTAAGTCTCAATGGCTAATTATGTTTACTATTTCCAAGATTCTGATCATGTTGCAGAGAGTATCCGTAGTTGAATTTTTATTTCTGATTTTGAGAACAAATATTCATAGTTGAAAATTGCAATGACGGACACATTCATAGCCTGCAATTTATCTTTTTAGATTCCTGACATGCAGAGAATATTTGTACTAAAGCACATTCACGAGTTGCAACTATGTGATATTACTTGTCAATTCAGCGAATCAAATTGTACAGTTCTCAGAATTACAGCAATCAGTTGTACTCAAGTCACAAGTCACCTTTGAGCTAACTTGTAAATTACATTTCTTAAATTTGTTCTCTGTGTTTGTAGCACACACCCGTGCCTGTTGATTGACCTGTGTACATTGTAACTCAAGTCGTATTTGATGAATATGATTTCTTCCAACTATTTAAGGGAAGATGCAACAGGTTATTTTATGCACTTTATACACCATTACCATCTGTTAAAAAAATTATACTTAACGAATCATTGAAGGTTAAAAAGATTGTCAAGGTGTGTGTATCATTTTATAAAATGAAAAATTGTGTACACATTTATGTGTTAAATGTTCATCGGACATGTCAACATTTCAAGATAGGATTCAAGTCAGTTTACATTGGAGTGGGTGAAGTCATTACAGGTACTGAAGAAGTGAAGTATAGTTTTCTGACCCCAAGTCTTACATTGGGGTGGTGAAGACCCTTAAAAACACAAGGCATTTAAACTCCATAAACATTTTTCGACCCCAAAGTCTTTATGTGAATGAGAGAGCAGAAGGGAAAAAGAGAGTACAAATAATGATATGCAATCCGTTCTAGTGTAGCTCTAACTTGTCATGGCAAAGAGACGATTACAGTGAACAAAGTAGAGAGGATTTCCAGTTTCTCCAACGTTAGCTAAAGAGTCTGTTATATATACAATTAGCAATTTCTAATCTGGAATTTATTATGGGACAACGACTAATGAATGCAATTATAACGAAAACAAAGAGTATGTTTCAAAGATCACATCCAACATATAATTTTGAACACACCATTGAATTCCTTTCCACAGGGCTGAATTCAGTCGACCCTTAAATAATGACCTCTAGCAGCTAGCTTCCCCAAGTTTCCTTTCCAACAGCCACTGGTGTTTAGTTTAAGCCTGTTATGATCAGGTAATTCTCTACCATCTGATGACTCTTTTACGTGACACTGGATTGTTTGTATTTTTTTTCAAGTCAAAGTATTAGTATATCATTCATGAATATGGTCAAACTGGCCATATACAAGGATTACACCACAAAGAAAAGAATCTACAGAACATATTTCTCTACGAACTCCACCCCCTCATCTATACAACTATACAACTGGGACCTTTCTGTTTACACCAAAAGAAAATAAGGGATCAGAAACTAATCCTCAACTGAGAGAAATTGACTCAGCTCCTTCAAAATCTCTCCTATTTCTCTCAATCTCCAAACAACCTGGACTAAAGAAAGCATAACCATGTTCCAAGCCCTTCTTCATCTTCTCCTCACACTCTTCCAACTAAATATCAACTCTTTCACAGTATTTGGTATTTTCCATGGGGTCCCAAACTACCTTCTTGTCCATTATATTCAACAATTCAAGAGGGAAAAGAACTTTTAAAGCATTGACGGAAACACTAGATTATTATCCATCTATTGGGAGGCCATATTGTTGTCAAATAAAACGAGCAGTTTTCTCAAAGAGATTAGGGAGACTGCGGAGAACCCTAGACTTAATTATGATGATTATGGTTGGGGCCAAAAATCCAAAAGAAGAGGAAGTGGAGTAAGAAAATGATTGCATCGAAGTAGTGCATGATAGCGAAGAGGATGATTAGCATGTTGAGAAACTATATACAGCTTCCAACTCTCCCAAAACCAACTATTTAATTCATTTATCTCTGATAGACTTTTCATAAGTTAAACAACAGAGTGACTTCACTAGATTCGGTTCTAAAAATAAACTTACATTCAATTTTGTGAAAGCTGTCAATACTTGTATTTTATTCGTCCCAAATAAATACAAAAACTCATATTTTACAAATATACTTAGTTTTCAGTTTTAGAGAGGAACAAAAGGAGCAAACTTTCCGATGAAATAGAGCAAAAGCTACATATACAAGCAAACATGGAGTCTGGGAACAGGAAAAAACATGCAGACAAATTCATCAAAAATAAAAATAGAAGGTTGAACTCAGCAGGAAATCAAAATATTGTATGCCTCTAGATTAGTTAAAGACTTACCTAAAATCAGAGTGGAATCCGGAAGGGCGAATTGCGCACTGTTGGGGCTTTCCCGTGAAACCTAATAATGGAGTTTGCGGAAGAAGAAGAAGTGAGAGAGCCTGAAGCATGGCAATAACATCCTGCCGGCGACAAGAAACTCCGCCGGTGACATTGAAGATTAGGAGAACGTCGCTTCGTAGTTAATTAATATTCGCTCTTGTGTTTTCAAAAAAGCCAATTTTATTAATTTTCAAAATTAGATTAGATTATATTATATTGATGTGATACTTTTAATAAAAAGATTAAATATTAAAAATTATACAAATAAAATTATAAATTGTAAATTTTTATATTGATGAAAATATATGTTAGTAAAAAATTTTATAATTTGATTTTTTTTTTAGAAGAAGACATGATGAAAAATAAAAGTGGACCGAGAGATAATAAAACGGCTAATCACATTCCTTACACACATTTGTTTTACTTAATAAATACACTTGGTTAAAAATTAAATTTATATAAATACATTTGGTTAAAAATTAAAATTATTCTTTTATCCGCAAGTCAATCCCTAATTTGAAAGTGTCTTGATTAGTAGCCCTAATCTCCTAAAACAAACCGTCTTAAAAATATTTCTGTACTTGATTAACTAAATTTAGATACACCCTTGATATATTTTCGATATGCAATGTGTTGCTTCACTGAACTCGAATCGAGAGAGAAGCATTTGTGTTCTATTCAAGAATCAATCGACAAAAGCTTTAAAGAATTTGAACATAAGAAAAAAGATAAGGCCAATTCAGGTAACTAATATAAAACTTGGCCAAATTATGTTAAGGTTATGGAGTGTGTATATATGTAGTTTCTGGTAACAATAACTATAATATATTCCGTGAAATCGTACACAAATATTGTTTGAGAATGTATGTAAGTGTTATCACTATCTCTTCGGACAATTATCTCTACATTCAATGGCCAGCATTTAGTTATTAATGTAGTGGCAATTATTACTTTACTGTCACTAAATATTTGTGGGCTAATTGTAGTAGAGACAACTATTAAATACCATTGCTTCTGCAACAATAACTAACTTATCAACTAAATTTGTATGTATAAAAAAGAAGAAAACTTGTACATAATCTCATCACCAGAAAATCATTTTCCGTTCAATGAATGATTCAAATATACTATTGTTGTTCATTGCTACTGTAGCGTTATTTTCCTCAGTTAATTTAGCCTTTGATGATTCGGAAAATGCGTTGAAATCCCAAAATGTACTCTCAAAATCCGAAATCATCCAACTTAATGGAGCAATTGGACCAGAGAGTGTTGCTTTCGATCCAAATGGTGAAGGCCCATACATAGGCGTAGCCGATGGACGAATACTCAAGTTTCAAGGATCACATTGGGCTGATTTTGCAGTCACTTCTTCTCAAAGGGAGAGTTGTACACTGCCTTTTGCACCAGAAATGGAGCATATATGTGGGAGGCCATTAGGTTTACGATTCGATACAAAAACAGGGGAACTCTACATTGCTGATGCCTATTTCGGGCTCCAAGTTGTTGGACCAAAAGGAGGATTAGCTACACCGTTAGTCCAAATATTAGAAGGTGAGCCTCTCGTCTTCACAAACGACGTTGATATTGATGATCAAGACGATGTGATTTACTTCACCGACACAAGCACAAGGTACCAACGCAGACAATTTGTCGACTCTCTTTTAAGCAGAGACGCGACTGGCAGGCTAATGAAATATACTAAATCAACCAAAACAACTGAAATACTAATAAGAGGCCTTGCTTTTGCGAACGGTGTATCTTTGAGCAAAGACCGATCATTCGTACTAGTAGCTGAAACTTCTAATTTTAGAATTTTGAGGTACTGGCTTAAAGGCCCTCTTGAGGGAACACATGATACATTTGCTGAGTTGCCAGGGTTTCCGGACAACATTAGAATGAACTCGAAAGGGGAATTTTGGGTAGCTATACAAGCAATAAGATCACAATCGAGTTTTTCAAATTCGGAAATGGGAAATGAATTGTTGAAGCTCCGATTCATCGCGCAAAAATTTAACAATTTGTTACGTGGAGGGCTGCTGCACGCTACAGCAATCAAGCTAAGCGAGGACGGGCGAGTTTTGGAGGTTCTAGAAGATGTTGAAGGCAAGACGTTGAGGTCTATAAGTGAAGTTCATGAGATATATGACAAGTTGATGTTTGGTTCTGTTATAATGCCTTTTTTGGGAGTTTATGAATTATAAGTTTAAGTCCTTTACAAGGTCGCGCTATGAGTAATTTAAGTTATATACAAGTCAAGTTATGTCATTTTTCAAGTTTCTAATATGGTGATTTTACTATGTTATTATTGAAAAAATAATTATTTTAATATCTCAAAAAAAATTGTTTAATTTTTTCATTTACATTGCAGCAGATTATTAATGCAAAATTATACTGCCTCAAATTTGGTAGTTGCCTAACATTTATTTTTGATCTATTTTAACATATTATAATATTCGGTCTTTATTGTTACTAGGAGATTTGGTCCCGATTCCGCATAGTTATAAAAAATATATATGTAAATTTATTTAAAATTAATTCTGAAAGAAGAAATAAAAGATTAACTATACAGATAAGAAAATGATAAAATCACCATACAAATATTTTTGTAGAATTAGAGCTTAAGTGAATTTACATTTTTATTATTAAATATTTTTCAAAATTTAAAAGCTAATTTATTTATAAGAAAAAGATCCATATGTTATGATGTTTGATACATATAATGCGAATAAATATATTTATGGACTTGTTTTTTTTTGTCTTCTTATATTTGTTAAATGATAAATTTAATGTTCGATAAATCTTCCTTTTATTCGAAAAAGAAAGTCATGAATAAAAATAGGAGGAAAAAGAGATAAGTATTTGTATTTCATTTCTTCTTTTATATTTGATTCTTTCATTGTACTTGTTTTTCTCTTATTTTTCATCGTTGTCTAAATAAATACTTATCTCTTATTTTTTATCATCTACATAAATCATTATTGCTAATTTTTGTATGTATCTTATATTATTTTTTTGGCAATTCTTTAAATATAGAAGAAATGAGCAAATTTTAAGAAAAATATAAATGATTTTTCCTTATAAGAAACACTCAAGAACTGCTTATTTCAATATTTAATATGCATTTCTTTTGAGTTATGAGTAGTAAAATTTGATCGTCTGTTTGCGTAGTTAACTTTGTCAGACAAAGTTACAAATAATTAATTTGAACCTAAATAAAGAATGTAATTTACTATGATTAAAATTTTTATAATAAACTAAATTTAAAAAATATATAGTATGAAAAAGTAAGCAAAAAGAAAAAAATAACAACACAAATTTGTCAAGTCCTAAATCACAAAAACAAAAACGAAATAAAAATTACGTGCAATTATTTTTGCTTTTATCCGGCACCTATATATCCACATCCAAGAGTCTTTTCATGGAGTCAAACTAATAATATAGAAAATATTACTATTTGAAATATGGAATAAAAATAATGATCTTGAGTAAGAATCTTATATAACAAAAAATATGAATTTATATAAATAAAATTGAAGGAATATCATAAGTTATCTTATATTTTGGAATTAAATAGTTGGGGGTTATGAAGTTAAGATTTTAAGGAAATGAATTAACAATATTAATTAAAGTAGAAATTCAATAGGTATAAGTTATGAAGGTAAAATTTTTATAATAAATAAAATAATGAAGACAAAAAAAACTTATGAACTATTCAACGTTTGTTGGGTGTCAGTTTTATCAAAGGAGCAAGCAAATCACCTTTTTTTTTTTTTTTTATTACTTCATTGTGTTTAAAAAATTGAAATAGGGAAAAAAATACAATTAAAAAAAAGACAAATATCTTGAAAGATTGAAGTAGTAAATATTAAGACTTTTAATTTCTTGTAATAATGAGTATAAATAATTTTTGAGACATTTAAGTACAACAATAAATAGAGGAGTAGTAATTGATATATTTATTCTTTTTTGTACAATAATAAGTAAGTAGAAAAATATGAAAAATTGAGAAATAAAAATAAATAGAATTCTTGGCCAAAGGGCGGCGCAACTTCACTTTTCTATTATCTTCTTTATATTATATATAGATTTCTAAGCATAACAATATCTAGTAACTATGAGAAATATACCATAGATAATATATCTATCATGCATAAATAATACATTAATAAATCTTTAAAATATTGAAAACAGTCATACTTTGTACTAATATAATCAGATAAATCTTTCAACATAATTAAGTTTTGCCTTCTTCGTTTGATGAACTTGTATTAAACTAGTGTGATCATCTCTTTGTAATGAATCTGTTAAAGAATGTATCTTTTAAATTCATCAAAGTGCAGAACATATCATGTCCCTATTTTTTCTATATTCAACATATTCATGGATGATTGTTATTTATAGATCTGAATCGATAAGAACAATTAGAAAAGGAGTTGAAGAGACATATTATTAAGTAGGAAATATGAATGGATGGAGGGTCTTTTTGTAACTCATTAAATATAATTAGAATTGTAAATATATATGATTGAATCTTTTATTTAATAAATAATATATTTAATGGAAAAACTCTCAAAAAGAGAAAAAAGATAAATATGAATAGAGGTTATAGAGTGGTGATGTCAGAATTTGCACCTATTTGTATCTATTTAGTGATCAGCCCGCTAGTTTCTTTGATCCCACTCGGTCTTCCTTTTCTATTTTCTTCCAATAGTTCGACCTATCCAGAAAAATTGTCGGCCTACGAACATCACCTTATCTATGTTTCACCTTTATATTAGATATATAGATTGTTCTTTTCATTTATTGGCATTAAGAAATGATTTGTACATTGGAGCATTCTGCTTATTTATAATTAATAATAGTCAAAAACACATCTGCGATGTCATGTTTTTTAAAGTTATCTATCAAAACTATCATGCTTTTACTTTTCTTACTCACTCGCAAATTATCAAAATACTTTTTAATTATCAGTTGTTCTTGTTTTTACCTGAATTATCATCTGAACTGGCCTAAAACTGACTCAAAACAAAAGAGGAATTTGCTTTTTTAATTTGTCTGAAATCGAAAAGGGTTTAAAAGGGGTGAAATGATTGTTTTAAAGTCGTGTGATATTTTTAGAAATTAAAAAAAAATAGTTTAAGATAAAAAAAAAATTGAACTCAAAAAATATAAATGAAA